ATTATCCCTTGCATTTAAGTTCGAGTCTGTGCTGTCTGTCCTTGTCCGAGATTGAACGTCAACCCCTGTGTTTCCTGTGTTCCCAGCTGCCAAATGTTACTTCCTGGATATTCTGAATTAAAAGACTATTGTTGTTCGTGTTCTCCTCGTTCCTCGCTCTGCGCCATAGGCTAAGTGTGACAATATTGAGTTTATTTTAGAAATATTTCAGTACGGTCATACAACAGTTAGTTCTGATGCACAGTTTATGCCATTTGCAGTGCTTCATTGCAATGGGCAGTGGCTGATGAGCTATTTTACCGTAATTTGCATATCTGTGGATCTCTTAAAATCAAAAGCATTCTTAGTTGTTCTACAGAAGCACTTCTTATAATATCAGAGCTCATGATTGGTCTCTTTCCAAAGGTTTTTATTTAAAGTCAATTTCTCTATGGAGAGAATTAATGCGTGTTTTACTTCTGGAGCCTGATTGCTGTGCTTAATTGTAGCACATTTGTGATCCACGGCTTAAACCTCCCAAGCGCATCGACAAAAATCTTCCAAAAAGCCTTTGGAAATAGAACTTCTGGTGTGGAAATTGCCATTGCCAAACTGAAATTTGTCTATTTATTATAATCAATGCTCTGCTTGATTTGCTAGTGCTCGCCATAATGAGATGAATAGAGATCGCTCTTACCACAGAAATGCAAGCTTCAAACAAAACAGTCAATGAAGACGAAGAAGAGAATGATGTGTGCTCCCGGCACCTATTTATTATATAGGTGCACCGGTAGTTACGTCATGGCTGTCGCCGGCCAACGAGTTGGTGTTTTTTCAATGTATGCTTCAGACACGGGTCACAACGAGGCGTTCCCCATAGCGACCCCTAGAGGACGCAGTTCAAAGTTCCTATGGTGTTAATGTTTATATCTTAATATCCTCATACCATATAGTCATATTTAGCAGATTAGAGCTGGATGTAGTTACATTTTGCGACGATACAAGCAATCAGGCAGTTGATATTTGCTATATAGATTAGAATATAATTTTTTTTATGTAAATGTATTGTATGAATGCAAGTAAATTTGGATATAATATACAGTATATATAAATTTTGCAGCAGAAATCAAGACTCATCAGACCAGGCAACCTTTTTGAATCATTTATTGTCCAATTTTGGTGGACATGTAGTTCATCTGCTTCAAGGTTCAGAAGGTTGTACGTTCAGAGATGCTCTTCTGCAAACCTCAGTTATAACAGTTGATTATTAGAGTTACTGTTGCCTTTCTATCAGCTTGAACCAGTCTGACCTCTGGCATCAACAAGGTATTTTCATACACAGAACTGCTGTTCACTTGACATATCATAGATATTTTCATTCTCTGTAAACTCTAGAGATAGTTGCGTGTGAGAATCCCAGTAGATCAGCAGTTTCTGAAATACTCAGACCAGCTCGTTTGGCAGCAACAACCATGCCACGTTCAAAGTCACTCAAGTCACCTTTCTTCCCCATTCTGATGTTCGGTTTAAACTTCATCAGATCGTCTTGACCACATCTACATGCCTAAATGCATTGAGTTGCTGCCATGTGATTGGTTCATTATATATTTGTATTAACAAGCAGTTGAACAAGTGTACCTGATAAAGTGGCTCTAAATAAACACCCTTTCGAGTTGTGGTGCAGAACTCCTCTGCCGCATAAGAAAAACTCAGCGCCTGAGGAGACTTGCATATATTGTGATGTTCCGTGCTGTAGTCACAGCCAGCTTAGGATTTGTTTGAATGCTGTATGAATACTTCCGGCATTTCTGTCATCGGTTTTGACATTATCATTGTGTGTCATCTTAAGAGTGATGCAAAAAAAAAAAAAAAATTTGAAACCCGATTTGAGCAGCCAGAGCATCCAGACTGAGATGCATTTGTAAAAATATGTAATTGAAGAACCATTTAGTTTCCCCAAAGAATCTTTCAGTGAGCAGTTATTAAAATAATCATTTTATACAATTGTGAATAATATTTTAATAATCTGTAGAACCTTTTCCACTATAAATGAAATCTAAAGATTCTGTGAATATTAATTAAAGTTTTTTTTTTTTTTTTTTCATGGAACCA